AGCTCCAGCCAATAAATCATTTTAATCAAAATACTGTATGCATTAAATCAAGTGGCAATTCAAACTAAAAATTGCAGATGAGTGACAAAGTTATCCGCAACATGTAATGTTGCTAGTTTATAATAATTAAAAATTATATATTATAATATTACATTCAAACTATAGTTTTTAATTAGAAATTATACAAAATAATGGCTTGGTATATAAACAATGATATAGTTTTTAATAAGTTTTTAATAAAAACTATTCAAAAATTATAATTCTGTATTTAAAATATAACATCACTTTTAATTAAGAATTATACAAAAATAATGGCTTTGTATTTATAAAAAATTTGTCTATATAGATGTTTCGTAGATTTTGCAGGTTTTGCAAGTTTCATCAGAGATTTTGTTATTTGAGGTGGTAGGTTTCGTCTTTTGTCATTTTGCAAAAGGGTTTTGTCTAACAACACTACCTGCGTTCATAAAATGTATGTGAAAAACAATATTTTTATATGTGATATTATATGATTATATTATTTTATTTACTTAACCATTCGATCACAATATTTTATGTTATTATTAATGCATATATAATAATATATCTGAATGCTATAACTCGTGCTCTAATTAAATAATAATACTTCATATGTTAAAATGAATTGCTTCTCTTTTGTATATGCCTATTAAAATATAAATAAGTCAGTTAATTGATAGAAAATATTAAATTTTAAATTATAAAAATAAGATCTATCTAAATTGTCATCTGTTATTCATATTCGTATCATTCTGTTTCGTTAAACTGTTGTAGGAGAAATACCTTATATCAAATAAAAAACAATGAAAAAGCCTTTAGAGAAATCATCTATAGTGAAACATGTATAAGTACACCCACCATAAGTACACAACCTCTCTAAATATACACTTAAATTCAGGCCCAACTATATATAAATGATCATAAATATATCTTCTTATTGTTCTAAGTGTATATTGCTAAAGTTTGATCCTAAGAGCATGCGCTTATGGAGGTTTTACCATACTAAGATTTACAAAACGTTAATCGATAATTTTAATAAAAACTCATAGCTTAATGTTATCACAATTATTTCAACTTAAATTATTAAAAAAAATTCTCTTGTGACCATTACTCATAACAACTGCATCTATGCGATACAACTCTTGTTTTTAATATATACACTTTTTATTGTGACTTTTTATTAAATGATTTAATACAGTAGTAACAAGATTTTTTATTACTTTTATTTCAATTTACATTGAAAACTCTTAAAAATTTCAACAATCACTAGTCTAAAATTCTGAATGAACAGATTAACATGAAAAATCTATTAACATAAAGTAAATTTAATGTAATTAATCGTTATAGCTTTCTTAAAACAAATTACATCGAATGATCAACTTTGAAATTTTACATACGTACGTACCCTTACTGATTTATCCCTAACTTTCGCTAATTAAACTCTATATCTCCAAACATGATACTGTTATAAGTATACGTATCACTTATAAATGTGGCGGACCTCTGTTACAATTCTGGTGATTAGTGTATCTGTTCTTACAATTGCGATCATACAAGATTTTTTTTTTTTTACAAACGCATACCTATTATCTTTAATCCTCGTCTTCGTCTTTTGTAACTTCGAGAAGAATCTCTGTGTCAATGTTGTCAATCACATTTCTAATTCAAAACCGAAGCTTATTTAAAAGCGTGTTTAGCATAGCAAGAATCACTCCATGTTCTTTCGCCACCATGATAGCTTTCTTAGTAAATCCAATATTCGTAACTATTACTCCTTGGACATCATATATTCTACTAATAGCTGAAGTTTGTTCAACGTTGTTGTAATAGACTTTTCTGACATTACACCATTTATATATAAAGAGAAAGTGGACATAGAATACTTGATCATTCAGCATCATATCTTTGTCACGATTATTAGACACTGTACTGGTAGTAAAATGTTCATTTATTTCATACTTTTCTTCTACCAAATCACACATCTCATTCTTAAAATACAAGTATAGATTTTCAGTAACATTCTAAAACAAAGCAAAGCAAAATAATATTAGCATATCGTGCCATCATCGTGTTTGGGGTCTTGCCACTTTCGAGCCTACTCATGCTGGACTCTGCAAACCGGTCTACATGAGCAATTCTTGTAGGAAACGGCCACATACAGGCTCACTCCCGCAGCGTAACTTGCACCAGCCGCTCACTCGGCAGGCAATGCCAAGTGGATTCACATAAAGAATTTCACCTCTTCTACCAGATTACGCATCTTGTTCTTAAAACGCAAGTGCGGATTTTCAGTAACATTCTAAAACAAAGCAAAGCAAAATAATATTAGCACATCGTGCCATCATTATGTTTGAGGTTTTGCCACTTTCGAGCCTACTCATGCTGGACTCCGCAAACCGGTCTATACAGGTGATTCCTGTAGGGAAATGGCCACGTATAGGCTCACTCCCGCAGCGTAATTTGTACAGCCGCTCACTCAGCAGGCAATGCCAAGTGGATTCGTATAAAGAATCTTACCTCTTTTATCAGATTACGCATCTTGTTCTTAAAATGCAAGTGCAGATTTTCAGTAATATTCTAAAACAAAGCAAAGCAAAATAATATTAGCACATTGTGCCATCATCGTGTTTGGGGTCTCGCCACTTTTGAGCCTACTCGCATTGGACTCTGCAAACCAGTCTAGAACAAGGTATAAAAAAAATTTTTTTTTGCATAGTTGCTTTGTCTTCGTAAGTCATACAATGCTCATTTTCAGAATCAG